CAAAAAAAGAAATCAGGTTCTCAAATCAGAACAGTCAGATGTTCTCATGCTGATTTTCCAGACCTGTCCCAACAGTGCATGCCCCTTCTTCCCAAATCTCTTAGAATGGCAAGATTTATGAGGACTTTTCCTTTTCAGAGGAGCCATCAATGGTGCCTTTCACTGACATGGATTAGGCTGGGACACAGCTGGTCTTGTCCCTGCCTGACACCTTCAGCACAAGGAGAAGGATGAGGCCAACAGTTAGAAGGACACAAAGCTGGATAGAGAAAACAGCCCTCCTATTCTCTAGGCCTGGGCGTAATTGCTGCACCCAGGTTAAGGGAAGGCCCTGCAGTTAACTATAAGGGATGAGCAGACAAATCCAACAGTGCTATGAAGGAAAACATGCCATACCTGTAACCAGGGTTCCTGGTAGTCTGTCTGTTCTTGCGGCAGCCTGGTCCTCTGGGCCTAAGAGTCTTTTGTCCTCTGGCTCTGCTTTCTCTTCTGGCTTTTCCTGCTCACCTGCCTCATCTACCCCCATTTCCTTTGTAGGGAGGTCCCTCTCCCCTGGAGGAGCTTCCAGGCCTGAATCTTCCTCTTGATCCAGGATCTTCTGCACCTCAGTTGCAACCTTGGTGAAGGATGAAGGAGCGGCCTCTTCTCTTTCCAAACCTGGCTCAGGTGCTGTGACTGGCTGGTCTTCTGGAGCAGTTTCTTCACCAGCAGGTATCTCAGTTTCTTCAGCAGTTGGTTCTGTGGTACCTTCAGAGGCTAGAAGGGGTTCCTCCTGAGTCTCTGCTCCCTGGGGTTCCAGCTCAGCAACTGGTATTTCTGCTTGATCTTGTGAGGCTGCTGTGGGGACAACTTCACTCCCCGCTTCCAGTGGGCTGACCTCCTGCTCCAACCCAGCTTCCTCTGGCCCACTGACTGCTGGTTCCCTTGGGTCTCCATTGGTACCGTGGGCTGCTAAATCTACATCAGAAATTATGTCCTTCAAGTATGTATTGAGGAAGATGGCTTCCGCAGATAATGTACGCTCAGGCATTGGTGGATGGTCCTCCGGGAGGACCTCTTCATCTTCGTCAGGTTCCATATCACCCCAAAACTCAGTGAGGTCTATGTCATCCAGTTCAGCTATTGGCCCTAAAAGAGGAAACACGGGGAACATTGGGTCAGAATAGGCTTTCCTGAGCAGAACTTCTCTGGTTTGTTAGCAGAGGTCCACTGTCCAAGTCCACAGCTTCTCTGAGAAATGGGTTTCATAGTAGCAGCTTGAGAGTGACCTTCTCATCCAATTAGTCTTTTGCTGGGTGGCTTGAAAGGGTGACAGATTGTGGGAAAAAATGGGAAACAAATGGAGGGGAGAGGAGACATAACAGTCAAGAGATTGGCAGCTTAGCTTATAAAGAGCCTGGGTGGCGAGAAACCCAGGAAGAAGTGTTTCAAACCACTCAACAAGACTTTGCCTTAATAAACTCACTCACAAATGTGGTGGGAAAGTCCTCTTCCCTTTCCAGGATCCTTGTGTCTACCCCAGGCTAGCCCTAAAGGCATCTTGATGAAATCTGTGTGGGTCTGGATTCCTTGATCTTGCCTAGCTGTGGGGGGCATGACAGTGGGATAAGAGCCAGGATGGTCAGACCCACAACATGGAGCTCTAAACCCTTTAGATTAGGAATGTAATGCTCTCCCGATTGTAAGTGCCAGGAGAATTTTCTCTCCTCGCCACCCCACTACAGTACTCTGAACAGACCCCATTTCCCATTCACCTACTCACAGGATGGGGAAAGAGCAGAATTTAAGTGCTGAGACTCTGAGCATATACATATATTTTTTCTTTGTGGGTTTCGACCAGTTCTGACTGATTGTTAGATTTATGTTCCTTTTCTCCAGAAGCTTCCATGTATCCCTACAACCCCCCTATGAGGAAGGCTAGTCTGGGAGAGAGGAACAGTCCCAAACAATTAGAAGGAGTCTGTACCATCTTTTCTGAGTAACACATTTTATGAAAAGGGTTATGAAAAAACAGCCAAAGCTGTTTTTTGCAAAACCATCAGGAACCCATGTTCCAAAAGGACAATGAGGTGAACAAAATATAACAACCAATTAATATCACAACAAATTAATCAGTCATTTAAATCCTTCCTTGGTCTAGCCACTTCCTTGCATCTGGCTACAGCTCATGAAAGCATATGCTTTAAAAAAAAATTGTTAGTTGGAAAGAGTGCTGCCAGACTCCTGATTTTTTGCCACCGGTAGTTAACATGACTCTCCTTCTACCATGTCTATGACTTTGGAGACCCAAAGTGAGTTCCCGTGGTTGAAAATGGATGTGAACTAGGTCTCCTTGGAAAGGAGCAATATCGATCGATATGACCGAAATCTAATTTTTTCTGCCTCCTTCAGAATAATAATGCTCTCCCTCACACACACATAGACACACCCATTACAGAGAGGTTTGGCTTCCACCCATTTTCATCCAGTTCCGACTGGGCTGAAAATGTCCTGGCCCAGCCAATCTGTGGAAACGAAACGGACTGGGCCGGGAAGCAGGTCTGTTTTGGCCCTTCCTCTCCCACAAAGCCGGCGGGCAGCGCCACAATTCTTATCACACCTTGGTCCAAGCTGCCTCTCTGAAGCCCAGAGAAAGCAGCCTTTTGTGGCTCCTTGCTTCTTGGCAGGCCCAATGAATGGAAGCAGTTTTATTCCCAATATTTTCTTTAGGACCTTTTTATGGTGGCCCAACTCTTGCTTCTTCCCCCCCCAAAATATTTAGTAAGGCTACCCAAGCAGGTTTTGCTACCACCTGCACTCAGGTCACAAAATGTTGGTTGCAGCACCCAACCGCTCATTAGCCTTCATGGTCCGCCATCCGTAAATATCACCAGGCTGGTCCTTTAGCCCAAGGGCACCTCCGGGTTGCAGAACTGCTCCACTCTCAACTCCTGCAAGGGTGGGCCTGGCCGGTCAACCCCCCGCCTGCTTACATTTCCTTGGGTCACGATAGGTCTCCTTGGCAAGCTCCGAGCTGCTGTTGTAAAACTTCTCCAGTAGCGACAGCACCCTCAGTCTGTCCAAGAGCCCTATCTACGGAAGAGGAGAACAGCCATCAGAGGGGTCAGCTTTCCCATTTTCCAGGAGCTCGGTGTGCTTCCTGTAGCACCGGATCACCATGGGTATTCCTAGGAAACCCAGTGAAAATCCAGCTGTTTTATCAAGAAAGTGAGTGGCGACCCCAGGGAGCGTGACAATTGCCCAAGGATAAGTAAGAAATGCAAACCCAACACCCTGGAAATGCTCTCTTTTAAGCCTACATTTTGAATGGATACTGGAGAGAAAAGAGAAGGTCATGGAAAGGCCTTGCTTGAAGATGGAGAACTACTCAAGCCCACCTTTCCTTCAAATCTTTTCCATAAACTGACGGATCGGTCAAAATGAAGAAGAGAAATAACTGCTGCCCATGTCGTGTACAGCGGGTCAACCTTGGAGTGGTAGGTCAAAAAGGTCAAGATGGCAGCCACGACTGTATGGTTGAAATTCTACCCATTTTTGATATGCATTTAAGAAGAGGTGGGACTTCAATCATGTAGTTACAGTTGCCATCTTGACTTTTTTGATAACCCCTTTAGACACCCCTGTAGGTTCAGGGCATCCAGCAGTTCTAAATCTGGGGGTAGTCATATCCAAAAATTCAAGAGTCTGGGGCAAACAGATTGCTTTCTGAGGCAATAAAATGATTAGATTAGATTAGATTAGATTAGATTAGATTAGATTAGATTAGATTAGATTAGATTAGATTAGATTAGAGGGTTCTCTAACTTGTGGACCTGCTCGCTCAGGGCAATGTGCCCTACAACTTTGGAGCTTCCTGAAAATTGCAATGAACAAATAGCAACTCTATCTTGTTTGGACTCAAATCCCATTCAGACTTTCTCAGCCTCCAGACACCAGAACAAGCTTTCTGCAGCAGCAGCATCCTACTCTGATGATATATAGTTGATATTATCAGCATACTAATGGAGACCCACACTGAGCTGATGGGTCCCTTCTCTAAGTGACTTCATGTTAAACGATGCAGATTGAAGCCTGCAGCAATCCACATGTGAATGAGTATTAGACTGACTTCTCCTCCCCCATAACCACCAACTGGAATCGCTGCAAAACAGAATCTCCAACTCTTGCAGGTGATGGTCAATGGTACTGAAGGACACCAAAAGATCCAGCAGGACCAGAAGGGGCATGTTACCCTCAGGACTAAAGTAACAGGGCCAGACTGGTACACCCCACACCACCAAAGACTGTCACACTGGCAAGTGGAAGACTATGTAACCTCTTCTATTTCATCATTTGTTAGGAACAGATGTTGTGTAGTGCAGGACCTCACAAGGCCAACTCATGAACACTGAAATCCGTGAGACAGAAATAGGACTTGGAGAACGAACATGACGAGAAGAAGATTCACTCGTTTCTTTTGCTTTAGGGGTACTCAGGCAAGCTGGCTGGGGATTTAGGAAGTTTTAGGTTTACAACATCTGGCAAGGGTCTGCTTGGAGAAGACTGGAATAGGAATTGGAGGGGCAGAGAGTGGCAGGACCACTGCTTATAATGAAGAGAAAGAGAGAATTTTTGGATCTACCTTTCCATGGTCACAATCAAAGAACAGTTGGAGAAACATCTGCCTCCAGATGTCATGTCTGATGGTATTTCGGGTGTCATGAGCACATTGTAGGAGATGCTTCAGCAGTTCCTGGAACATGTCACTGGTGAAATTTTTGATGTAAGAAAGGAGGTACTGGGGAAAGAGGAGAGAGGAAAAATCACATTTTGTTCTCTGTTCATTCACTTGTCCTACGCTTCCTTTTTACTGTTACACATTCTTCCAAGGAATTCAGGGTGCCATATATGGATTATTTCACCCACCCACACCTTTATCCACACCACTAGCTGGTGTCCCCAGAAAGAGCTGCGTGAGGGGTTGAACCCCGGCTTTCTCTGATTCAGATAGTAGACAGACATCCAAATGCAGAAGACGGATCTTTCCATTGTGGGAAATATGCAAACCTAACACACCGCAAGGGTGGGACCCTTGCAGCCCTGGGATGTCGGGTGGTCTCCAGCAATTTTTGCAGCCTCCAGAACTCCCCTTGATTGCTCATCTTGAAAAGGGTGACACTCTTGAAAAACTTTTAAAAAATTATTTTTAAGGCAGGAAATAACCAAAGCATGCTTTTAAAAAAAGGAGGCAAATCTCCCCCCTCCCTCAGGAAGATACAGAAGATCATGGCTTTGCCCATGGGTGAGCCACCATCCCACCAAATGGCACCGCTGCTCTTCTCACTGCTCCCTGAGATCTTCTCCACCAAGACGACCCAGGGCTTAAAAGAGCTTTAAGTGTTGAAGTGTTCAAGCTGCTCAGCAGGAATGGAATTGCAACTCAAAAGAAATTACTGGCAGTGCTGGCGAGGGGGTGGGTGAGTGGGTGGGGTTTTGCACAATTGCCACTACTGCAACGTGTGATTTCAGGTTCTCCTCCAAAACAAGCCTACATCTCACAAAGCTGGGGGCAGTGGCTTCTTTTTCCTTCTTAAGGAAATCTGCCATATCACTAGTCTAATTATTCCCGACACGCTTTTTTCAAAAAAAAAAAACCAGCTTGCAGTTTCTCCACATGATCCTTCTCATCTGGAGCTCTGACAGCTCCCCGAGGAGCGCTGCTGACTTGTGGACCTCCAGCTTTCAAAGGGAGCAGCTTCTGGCGGTTTGCGAAATGACCCTCCCAATAGGCTGCTATGCGGGGGGGGGGATGCAGGGGGGGACTGATTTTTGAAACAATTAAGAAATGCACTTTGAAGTGTCCAAGAAGCAGTCCAGAGGAAGCTTTGAGAAGTGTGTCCTGCAGGCAGATCCTGCTGACAGAATTTGCATGCCAAAATTGCATTGGAGGTCTCTTCTCACTCTCTATCGGGGATGAATGAAATACTAGAAATGGGTGGGATGGGAGAATCTCTTCAGTGCAAAGATGAACGCTTGGAACGTGACTTTTATCCCTCTCTGAAGGAGGGAGAGGACATGCAGATAGGTTATCTGAGGAGTGAGAGATTGCCTGGGAAATTTGAGGTTGGCTTGACGTCCGGGTCCTGAGACCCATGGGGTGAGGACTACGAAAGAGGCAGCTGGATCGGACACTTGGGCGACATCCCCCCAACATTTCTTGTCTAAAGTAGGAGGAGACACGAGGTTACCTTCTCACTCTCACTCACAAGATCTGAGAAACGCAGCAGCAAAGAGTTGCAGAGTTGGTTGTGTAAATTAAAAAAAGGAAAAGAAAAAAGGGGAACCTTTTTGGAGACCAGTCTCTCTCCTTTACCTCCATCCTCTGCCACTGGAAATGCTACGGAGCCGAGAGTGATTTCAAGTCTTGGTCCCAGAAACACCTGGAACCCTACAGATGCATCACCATGTGTGTTTTTAATGGTTTTTTTTTTTTAAGGCTGTGCTACAAATGCGGCATTCACAGTGTGAGTTACAAAAGGTTCTTGGAAGGGATGGGAGAGTTTGACTTTGCCACGGTTGCTGAAGGGAGAGAAAGACAAGATTCTGCCTTGGGGGAGAAGGAGATGCGCAAGGAGAGGAAGGTTTCAGAAGACCAGATGACCAGGACATTAACCTTGGATTTTCACACACCACAGGAGGCGATAAATAGAGGAGATATGGAAAATGCTACTGCCTCTAGAATGTGTGGGGCTCAAGGGCTAAACCTCCTCCTTTGCTGAACATCTCCTGGTGCAGAGCCAGCCCCATCATCAGTGACGGATAAATGAACCTGCGTGTTTAGGACCAGTTGGGGCAGAGACAGAGCACGGTGAGCAACCGTGACGTGGTCCTGAGTTGGAGGAGCTAAGAGTAAGAGAATAAAGACCTTGACGCATATTAAATATTTGCAGAAGGAGAGGAATTTCTTCTTGCTACTCTTGGAACAATGGAAGGGCATCTGCTCACTCATCGCTGAGCTGTTCTTTATGCCTAAGACAGCCAACTCTCTAGTTGACCCACGTGCCCCACCAAGTCTGATGGCAGATGAGAAGGTTGTGCCAGGGGGCATGGGGGGTGTCCTCTACACCTTGTGAGTGTGCCTGTTTCAGGCTTGGGGGTAGAGTGACTTCCCCCGTTTGGCTTTTGTGTGAACCTGCCAGATGATTCATTGCCAGTTTAATTATTTCTCACGCTGATTTTTATATTAAGCGTGACACTGTGACTGCTTTTGTCTGGTTTCAACTGCTTTGGCCTTCCAAAGCTGAAGGATGCAAGCTGGAGAGGAAGAGGATGAGGTGAGCCTCTCTCGACTGCCCAAGGCCAACATGCTCTCGCTCTGTTCCTAACCTTCTCACAGGCGCCCCTTGGACTGGGAAGAACCCATCGCTGGGTGTTCGAGGCAGACGTGGGCCTGACCTCCGAAGAAGACCCATTTCTTCTGCCTGCTGGCTGCCCCACCCCGAAGCAGCCTTCCCCCCCCCCGGCATCGTCCAGACAGGTTGGACATCAACCCCCAGGTCTCCCCTCGATGCTACTTCCTCCCATCTTCTTGAACCCCCCAGGGATGCTTTTTTCCCCCCCTCACCCCTTTCAAATTTGGCTGCCCTGGACTGGGATGGTTCTTGGACTGCCAAAATGTGGGATGTTGCTATCTTCCCCCACCTGGGATAAGCCCCATTGGCTGCCGGGCAGCGTCTCCAACTGTGGCTTTCTTCTGGGTTGAGTCTGAGGGATGCACTCCTTTGGACCCTCCCTTACTTTCAGTCTGCCATGGGTTTATCGCCAACCCCCCTGCAGCTGTTTAAAATTGGCCCATGATTACATTCCTCCCTGCAGACCCGAGTTCTGCACATGCTGATCGATGCTCCCCCTTACTAGAGTGGCTTCCGCCTGGTGCCACGTCCCCGTCTGCGCCATATTTCACATTCCGCTGGTTTGTTCAGGGATGACCGAACAAGTGGTGCCAGCCCCAGGAGGAGAAGCAATGATATTGCCTCCCTGTTCAATTTCGAAGGCCCACAAGATGGGTGGGGGGGCATCTCTGTGGCTTGACCTCCGCTGAGCCGTGGCGAAACAAAAACCGTGAGAAGAGCCCCTCTAAAGAAGCGCCAATTCTTGGGCTGCAAAATGTCTTTGCAGCAATTCGGTCTGGGCCCCAGCAGAGCCCCGAAGGATTGATTTGGCTTTGCTACCCAACAGATACGGTGGTGTGTGATCCTTCAGGTGTAGAGTTGATTCAGGAGCGGCCCAGATGCCCAGGCTTAGCATAATATAGATGTGTAGAACTGAAATGTCTTGAGATACCAGCTAAAATGTGGTTTTATGTGCACCATGTCCTGAACCAAGCTCTCAAGGAATAGTTTATTCTTTGTAACAGTCCCCTACTTTTGTATGGACCTTGTATGGAATTTTGTATGAATCTGGCTGATCGGCAAATCTGAAAACTGTAGCCCCAGCACGTTGGTAGTGGATTTGGGAAAGTGGGTGAAAAGCCCCTCCGTGTGGGCTTGAGGGAAAAAGATTCACAGAAAAGAAGACGGCTGCGAACCCTGATTCTCGAGAGGAGACTGTAGACGCACGGATTTCCTTGAGATACATATTACTCTTGAGAATTCTCTTTATTATGAGAAGTCCCCGTGAGGTTCACTATTTCATCACAACCACAAGACAAGTTTGACATGTTACTACTAAGACTTAACTTTGAGAGAAATGCTAACTGGATCCCCTTCAAAAGTTGGGTGTTAAGTACTTACATTCTGAGACAGCTGTTTTCTGCTCCATCTTTCGTTCCAGGAAGAACAGGTGTTATCTGGCATTGAAAAGCTCAGTGGCTGCCTATGCTGTTGCTGTTGCTCTGTGTGCATGCGTGCATGTGTTGTCTATCCCATAGCCTAGTGTTTCTCAACCTTGACCACTTTAAGATGGGTGGACTTTAGCTCCCAGCATTCCCCAGCCAGTTGAAGTCCACCCATCTTGAGAAACACTGCCACAGCTAAGCAAGGGAATAGACATCAGGGGGTGTCAAGAATATGGAATATGGGTCCTTGGCCTCTTGCCACAGACAACTAATAGAACTGCAAGACTGTCAGCAAGGGTGCGACTCAGCAGCCCCCTCCAGCTTTCTGATGTAGGGTTCTTGGGTCATGAAGCTGCTGTGAACACAAGAGGCCAACAGAAGATAACGCTGGTGGGACCTCTGAAGCCATCAGTGATGAGGACGTCTCACTTTCTAGATTTTCCTTCTCCCCTCCCTATTTCTGGCTGACTCACCCTGGGTGGGGGAAGCAAACCTTTGCTTTGGAGTCCAGCTTCCACCTATATTTTTAAATTGGTGATTATTAATCGATGCTTCATCGTGAGGAAGGGGGAGGATTTTCTTGGTCTGTGATGAAGATAATCCAAACTTAGAGGTTAGTAATTTTTGTACGAGGGGGGCAAACTGAAGCCTTGGAATAGGTTGTGTGAGTGTGTTATGTGTCAAAATTTGCTTATTTTTGGGTACTTCTGCTCTTCCTCCTCCCAAACATCTCTCTGCAGGTAGTGGATTATGTCCCCCGCATCCCAGTCCTTGGAACTAACACCTGTTTAGAACTTAGATAATTTGGAATAAAAGACATGAAGGCTGGTTTACCAGGAGCAGAGTTCTGCTTGCTGAAATTAAGTATAAAAATGTGAGAAGCCACCCCAGGTACTGCTGAAAAAAGGAATAAAGAGCAAATACTTGTGCATGTGTACCTGAAAATCAGAGACATGCCAGAAATTCAGAGTCTATCATGAAGGAGCGATGTTAGTGCAACTCCAGGGGCCCAAGGTAGACTTAAGATGGGCATTACCGTATAAAAAAACTCCAATTTCTGGATCCAATTCAGAAGGAGAGAGAGCAAGAAAGGGGTACGATATAGCTGGAGGTCAAGAGGAAACGTGGGTCCCATTTCTGGGTTTGCTTTGTAACCCTGCCAGAGAAGCGGGGTGTCATTTCCAGAAGAGAATTGGGAAGCAGGAGATGACACTCTTCCTTTGGACATCTCTACAAAGTGTAATCACCTCATTGTTATCCAGCCTTCCTTCCATGGCAGGAAAGGATCCAGGAGGGTCCATGGCAGGGGGTGTCAAAAAAGTCAAGATGGTGGCCACAGTTGCACATAAAAAGGGAGCAGGACTTTGAGAGTGTGATTGTGGTTGAAATCTTGACTTTAAACAGCACCCCCCCCATAGATGCTCCTGCAAGGAACTATAAAAGGGATTGTTAGGCACTTTCAGCCGCTGTGTCCTCCCTTCCTCCTGATTCTTCATGGAGGGGAGGGTCCCAAGCCCACGATCCCTCCTGGGAAAAAAGTGACAGGCCTCCTCACCTCCATGAATTCCTCTTGGTTCACCTTCACTTCCAGCGTTCCCACGGCTTCCAACGGCCTGGCGTAGATGTCTGCAGAGAGGAGAAAGCGTTGGTGCCTGACAGGCGGAGTGAAAGCCTTGGCAGGGAGGGAAGTTCTGCTGGGCCCACTGGGAAGGAGGGGACAGTGGGAACCACACCGGGCACGCTGAGAGCAAAGAGAACCAGCGCTATTTGGCTGCGGACGCCGGGCATCATTTGTGAATCGCTCCCCGGGCAGGTGCAAAAGATGTAAGCAGCAAAGGAATGTTTGACGTCCTCCTATCCGAGGTGTCCGCAGGGTGTGGTCAAAACAGTCAAGATGGCAGAGCCCTGAGCACACTGTTGGGGCCACCAACTTGACTTTTTTGACCACACCCTGCAGACAGCCCCATCTCCAATGGAACGTTTGGTTTGGCCCCTTTGTGGTGAGGATCTGTTGGAAACAGACTCTCCTGCTCGATCTCGCTGCCCTTCCTTCCCTTTGCTCGCCTCTCCCAGGCAGCGGGTGGAACTGGCTTTCCATGGGGAGGGGGTCCTTCTTCCAAAGACCTCCCCCCAGTATAACACCTGCCTCTGAATAACCTCCAGTGGTAGAGAAATGGTTGACCGCCTGAGGATGCAGAGAGAGACCTTGCTTGGCCCACGAGGTACCCTGCCCTCCTTGACTTTATTTATTTATTTGCATTTCAAATTTGTTGCCGCCCATCTCACTGTCGGGTGACTCTGGGCGGTTTACAGTAGAAACAGAATAAGCATTAATTAAAATAGATAAGAATTAATTAATTAATTAAAGTATGCTGAAAAACAAAACTTCCTTTATGATACTTCCACATTCTTTGAATGAAGAGAGAGAATGAAGATGCAAAGCACCTTCCTCAAATCTCTTCTTCCTAAGAATGCCTCTAGGCCTGAAACAGACCCCACGGGCATTCTAAGGAAGTAAGAATTGCAGCCTGAAATGAAATGAAATAAAATACAAAATAAAAAGGGCTGCATTGGAAGGATGGTCCCCTGGCAGAAAAAAAGACAAAGGTGAGTAGGAAAGGAAGAACATATCCTGGGGGTTTAGAGCAGGGTTTCTCAACCTTGGCAACTTTAAGATGTGTGGACTTCAACTCCCAGAATTCCCCAGCCAGCAAGGGCCTTGGGTACAGCATGGCGTGAGAGCTCCATTTCTGCCTATTGAACTAGATGTCACTGTTGATGGACAGGTTCACAACATGGCAGGTTAAAGCTGAACAATGGGGACTTCTTTTATCTCCTATTTTCACAATGAGGAGCCATGGCATCTGGGTCAACTCAGCATCAGCTTCCCAGTCTTGATGGGAGCTGGTCCAACACAACTGGAGGCCCACCATTGGTGGATAGTATTGCTGACTGGCTGGAAGGAAGACCCACGGCGGGGGGCAGTAGGGTGATTAGAATTGGGGATGAAAAAAGTGCCCTTGGACAAGGGATTGAGCTGGCTGGTTGCCTCCAGGTGCAACGCTGTGACTAGATCCCACAATACTACTTTGGGCATGCCTGAGGGTGGGCATATGCCCACTGGAAGCTCACAATGCAGCAGCGAGGAGCAGCTTTTGTCCCTACAGTGGAGTCCTTAGGATGAGAGCTCATGACCACGGGTTGGGGTTGGGGTTGGGGTTAGAGTCAGGGTTAGGGACAGGCAGATGCACTTTTACCTGTCCCCTTGGACTGATGCATCGGGCTGATGACCTCCAGGAAGGATTTCAGGGCGCTTTGGATCTGCAAACGAAAACAACATTTCTCAAGGGCCGGCCCACAAGCTCCTCTCATGGTGCGCGTTGTTGATGTGGAGCTGTTCTAAGCCAGGATACCCAGAGGCCCACCATGCTCAGGGACCAGTGGGTGCCCAGTATGGTCTCCTGGCTTATTTATTTGTTTACTTATTCGCTTTGTATAGCTGCCTGCTTGGCACACAACTCAGGGTGGTGTACATCCTCAGTAAAGAGCAACAAATCCATGTAAAACAACATGGTGCAGAGAGAGGCCGTGCAGGGGCAATTCAGTCCAAGGCCGTTGCCACCCTCTGACTTCAAGCAGTAGGTAAGGCTTCAGTTGGATGGTGCATCAGGTCCTCAGGAATTTATGGTGGGTCGGGCAAGTTCTTACAGGAATTAGAGTGGGATAAATCTGGGTGAGCTAAAAGGACTTTGCCTCAGAGGGGGCCAAAGAAGGGCAGTTGACGGATACAATTAGAATCTAACAGAATTGTGCATGCAATGGCAACATTGCCCAATGTTCACTGTATTTTATTTGTTGATAACATTTCTGCTTTGCATTCCTGCCACGCATGAACTCAGGGCAGCTCACCGTGAACGATAACAGAGCAGAAAGAAGATAGTCGAGCAGAAATCGCCACAGCGAACGTTGCATAAACGCTACAATCCTACCCATCCTTACCTGGTGACAAGTTCCACTGGGCACAGGAAGCGTGTCTCAGATTATCCTGAGCAGAGGGACAACCCTTTGGGAATACACTGAGCTCTGTCAGTGTGACAAACTTCAGAATATGCAACTTTTGGGACCGCAGAGATCCTTAAAACCTCTTTCATGGATTGGTGAACCAAAAAGTTACTTGCAGAAATTCTGCACCCTGAATTACATCCCTTTATTAATAAACAAAGCAAAGTTAGTACAACTAACTTAATTTATTCCATTACTTAGAACTGATTTATGATATACCAGGACTTCCCACCTTCCAAGCTGCTTCAGAATTCCTTCCTTCTGGTTATAGGACATCTTGGAGTAAGATATAGATATAGATATAGATATAGATATAGATATAGATATAGATATAGATATAGATATAGATATAGATATAGATATAGATATAGATATGTGTGTGTGTGTGTGTACGCGTGCACATACGTGCACGTGCACACGTGTTGGTGTGTGTATTCTAACAGTTCATCTAGAATCAAATTAACCAGTTTTGATTTATACATGTACAAATAACAAGCAAAACGTTTACATATATTGATCTGACAGGTCAGTTGTTGAGGGAGAAAACATTTTTGGACTCTCTGAAAATAAAAAAGCTGGCTGACTGTTAGAAGTGATCCTTCCTTCCTTCCTTCCTTCCTTCCTTCCTTCCTTCCTTCCTTCCTTCCTTCCTTCCTTCCTTCCTTCCTTCCTTCCTTCCTTCCTTCCTTCCTTCCTTCCTTTCTCCTTCTCTGTACCCCTACTACTTTCCCAGGACAAACAGAAGCTGACGTTTGGACAACGTGGTCACCTTACGCACTTTGGATTCTCGTGCCCATGGCTTGTGACTCACCACCCTTTGGAGTTGGGACACCTTAACTGGCTGCAGACTGGGGGCTGAGCCTCTGCTTTGCATGCTGAAGGTCCCAGGTTGCGCGCTCAGCATTGCCACTTGCAAGGGGTAAGACAGTCAATCACTTTATCTCATGCCATTGGCCCTTCTAGTTAAGAAATGCTCGCTTCACGTAGAAATTGGATAAACACATGGCATTCGGCCATAGTTCAGTATGGGGTATGGTGATTAAGGGGCTGGGCAAGGAGTAAGGTCCAAGTCCCCCTCAGACACGGCTGTTCAGGGGAGAGACCACTATGTATGCGACCTTAAGCTCCTGAAGGAAAAGTAAGACATACATGTAAACAGTAAAAGACCCAGTGTGGTGTTACAGGGAGGGTGTTAGACTACGACCAGGGAGGTGCAGCTTTAAGTCCATCCTCCTCCGTGGAAATTCACTGGGTGACCATGAGACTCTCTCTCAGCCCAACTGACTTCACAGGGTTGCTGTTTGGGGGGAAACGGGAGGAGGGAGTGCCACTGATGCTGCCCTGAGCTCCTGCATGGAAAGCGGGATATACAGTAGACAGATGAGCAGAAGAAAGGATGTGCAGCACTGAAAATGCCCACGTACCCCTCCTCACATTTTTACATTTGAAGGGTCCTACCCTGAGGCACTGGCAAGCCAGCCCTTTAAAAGGGGGCTTGATTACTTTAGAGATGGGGGTGGAATTTAGCCTGATGAGATGAAGAAACATTGAAGGGAGACCAGAAAAAGAAAAAAGAGCAGTTGAGTTACAAGCTGAAGCCCCAAGATGGCGTCAGGGAATGGTGGAGACAGCAGAGAACCTCGGCAGCAGGGAAAGAACATCAGGGGCAGGAGTGAGAAGCCCAAGAAGATCCCAGCACTAAGCCAAGCCATGTCCAGATCCTGGCATCTCCAGCTCCAAACCCCAGGGTGGTGGCTACAGAAAAAAGACCCGGAGGGCTGCAAGTACTAGAGGCGCCTGAGCACCCAGCGCCAGGCCAAAGTCTTCTCCCGGCCCAAAAAGCAGCAGAAAGGGGACTTCCAATGCTCCTGCCAGCCCAACCAGGTAGACCAGACTAAGAAACCAATGCCATGTAGGTCTGGACTACTTTATTGTAACCGCTCTAGTCACAGAATCTTGCAAGTCTGAATGTGCTCCCCCCCCCCCCCCCAATTTTATCTTCAAGTGAACCAGGGAGGGGCTTGTCTGAGATGTTTTCTCAGGTTATTTTCTTGGTCCGGACACAAGCCCCTCTTATCTGACGGTTGACTCGATAGTGGCTCTTCCTCCTGTCCTTCAAGGTCATTCCCTCTGTCCTCTGCAACTCCCTGCACCAGTCCTGTCTACAAGCACAATACTAGCTGTGCCGTAAGGACTGTGAGCTGAGGGGGGACAGGAGTAGAGCAGAAGTAGCATAAATGTCAGAAATAGCAGAGAAGAGAGAGATAAAGTAGAGCAAAAGTAGGATATTATTTAAAATAGAGGGTAGCATAAGATCCATGGTAGAGAATGTATGCAGCTCAGGATCAAATTGTTGGGTCCTTGGTGGTCTCTGAGCTTCTTTATATTATTTAAAATAGAGGGTAGCATAAGATCCATGGTAGAGAATGTATGCAGCTCAGGATCAAATTGTTGGGTCCTTGGTGGTCTCTGAGCTTCTTTATATTATTTAAAATAGAGGGTAGCATAAGATCCATGGTAGAGAATGTATGCAGCTCAGGATCAAATTGTTGGGTCCTTGGTGGTCTCTGAGCTTCTTTCTCTTCTTGCAGATGTTTCATTACCAACAGCATCAGTGTACTGATGTCACCTAGCCTGGTAATGAAACCTTTGCAGGAAGAGAAGCAAGCTCAAGGAATGTCAAGAACCCAACAATGCTAT